AACACAGTCAGTTAACCTTATGGTTGCATCTTATATCAGAATTTTGGTAGTGATTCACAAAACCAAAAAAAAAATGTGTTTAATATCTTGCTTTGAGGAACTTTTAGCTGGTACAAACCATCCATCCATTAATCCATCCATTATCTATACACCGCTTAATACTCACTGGGGTCACGGGGGGCTGGAGTCTATCCCAGCTGACTCAGGGTGAAGGCAGGGGACACCCTGGACAGGTCACCAGTCTATCACAGGGCTACACTTGGAGACAGACAACCAAGCACACTCACATTCACACCTACGGACAATTTAGAATCACCAGTTAACCTCAACATGTTTTTGGACCTTGTGGGAGGAAGCCGGAGAACCCAGAGAGAACCCACACTGCACGGGGAGAAGATGCAAACTCCACACAGAAAAATCCCAGTTGTCTTAACCTGGACGCAAACCGGCAACTTTCTGCAAGGTAACGGTGCTAACCACTGCCCCACCTTGCAGCCCTGGTACAAACCAGTTTTGTCTATTTTAAAAAATAGATCAAATGCCTCAAATGAGCTGGTTTTTGGTCGTGTTCAGCAACAAATTCAGATAAAATTCAACATAACTCAGCAAAAACAACCATAAAGAACACTGCCAGATTAAATTAAAATGTAAAACTTGTGTACCCAGAAAAAACCTGTAGGCTTGACAGGTGCGTATAACAAGATTTTAGTTTCCTTTTGAACAGGCTTTGTGTCACTTGCAATGGAAAATAATGATGACAAGTTTTCATCAGGGTCAACAATGTCACAGAGTCAACAAAAACCTGTGAAACCGTTTGTGCGCCACAGTCTAGTTCTGTCTTCTTGCTCAGTTTGTCCTGTATATCCACAGGTTTTGATTAAATATGTGTAAAGAAAGATGTTAAATTCTCCGTCCTCACTGAAAACACTCAGAACAATTTTTAAAAACTGCCTTTGTGTTCAGTAAAACCACTAAAATCTCAGAAACTATGTTGAAACCTCCAAGAAATGAGTGTTTAGGAGCATCACTGAATAAAACAAGCACTTAAACCAACATAGCTCGCTGGTTTTAACTGTGGAAAATGGATTCCTGTGTAATCAGCCTGCACTGATAAGTAAAACCAGCAGTTTTAATGGCACCTTATTTGAAACTGAGCTGCCTAATATCACCTGAGGGAACCAACACCAACTGTGCTGTGACCCTCTGATCTCCTCATTGTTGCAAACTGCCTCTCCTCGAGATGCTTGTTGAGGCATGAAGCCTCTTTATTGGTTATTTACATGATGAAACCTCGACTCCAGCAGAATTACCTCCTCTTCACTTCAAGCACTCATCCTCTTCATTCCGCCATTCAATTAAAGGAGAATGGGAATTCCACAAATGTGCATGCATTACCTAAAGCGTGTTTCTAGACTGCAAATTGAAGCATTTTTCTTTATTTGTGTTTTATTTCAGATGATGTTGCGTTAATTTGCTTTGTTTCCAGTAATGATCTCTGCAGATACAACAACCAGAGGTCAGCAAAAAATGAAAAAGAGCATCCTTTCCAAATGAAGAACCTTAAATTCAGGGTTTTTTAAAAAAAAAAAAAAAATGTTATTTTGCTTCGTGACTTTGGTTTATATGAACTCATACTATAACTCAGATCATCATTATGAAAAAAAGTGCAGCACATTTATTCCTAATTACAGCAGTGTACATGATGTGGACAGAAATTAAAAAATGCAAAATGTATTTTATGTCAGAACAAGCAGCAGTGAAACACTGCACAGAGAGGAGGAGGAAGAGGAAGAAACAAGAAGAAGAAGAAACAGGAAGAAGGACGAGAAACGGGAAGAAGAAACAAGAAAAGCAAGGACAAAAAAACAGGAAGAAGAAGAAGAAGAAACAGGAAGAAGAAACAATCATAGAGCTTCAGTAGAAATCAAGTGGACTTCTCTTGTAGCTTCTTGAAGACTAATACCTTCATCCAAGAGGCTTCTTCAGTTCTGACCAAGAAGAAAGAGAAGAAGAAGCAGAGAAGGAGGAGGAAGAAGCAGAAGAGAACCACTGGGACTCAGAAGGAACTGGACATTAGACGAAAGGAAACTTGGACTTTGTTATATGAACTGAAAAAGTTCAACGAAATCTCCTTTTTTTTTTTTATTATTACATCCAGGTGGAGTCACAGATTTCTGCCTCTGAATACCATTTAGGAAGGTTCCAGCATTTAAACCACTGAGGAAAACCTCTTTCTCTGTCTGTGTTTTCAGATGTTTCAATTCTTGCATTGATCTATTTTTTCCTGCAGGAATATAATGTGTGACAAATACACTATTCTATTATGACAGGCCTGAATCGTCCCCGGAGCTTCCCCTTCCACCTCATAAACATCCCAGTTATTAGCCTTTGAATGGCTGTTATCTGGATCCTCTTCTGCAGCGATACAACGCAGTAATCCGGCGAGGGGAAGCCGCTCTGAGCTCCAGCTGCAGCTTTCCATCCCATCCATTACCCGCAGGAGAGGTTAGGTACAAAATGGGAGGAAATTACAGGTGGAACGCGGCGTTTTTGTCACCAATGTCGAGCAATTTGTTGCAGTGGACCAATGATAGGGTGGCGGGAAACGCTGCTACTCGCCGGCAGCTGAGCAGGAGGCCTCTGAGAGCCACTCGACGCTGTTTGGAGGGAGGAAATTACAGGCTGGGCGGAGAGGGCGGCTCTCTAATGGCTGTTATCATTATCACGGTCGCTTCCAGATCATCGCCATGCAAGAACGCGCCGCCGCTTTTGGAAATTATAGCCGACCGCCGGTAGAGCGTCTGTTTTTGTCCCTCTTTTGTCGAGAGGTGAAAAGTCGCACAATTAGCAGCCGAATCGCTGCTCAGGTGTGATTTCAGGCTCGGCGTTGGCGGTTAGACAGTATTGGTTTCAGAAATTAAATCTGAAACCAACACTGAAGCGCCGCCAATACAAAGTTCATCTCTCTCCTCTTTATTCTCTTTGAGCTGAATAATTCATCTGCTGCTTTAATAACACAAGTGGCCTGAAATTCATAATAAAGGTGCTGCTGCATTTTCAACAGCGGACACATGCAGGTCAACCGTTTTATTATTAGAGTGCAGTAAGGCTGCAGTGATAATAAATATGAAAACTTAATTTCCATATTAGGGTCAGTTCAGATAGAATTCAGGAAACGTTGCTGCACCGTCTCTGGCTTAGTTCAGAGTTCACATACTTGTTATTCGGAGCCCAAAACAAATTACAGTGAAATGTTTTGGCAGAATTTGGAGAAAGTTTTTGCATTTTCAACCTCCATAAAAAAATAAATTTTTATCCCTGAAGCCATTTTAAAGTTTTAACATCTCCAGAAACATAACTCCCACAGCCATGAAACTCAGCGAGGACACAGAAAAATAGTTTCCAGTAGATCCAAATGACTGAGTTACCGGCAACCAAAAGTGGAAAAATGTGCAACATTTTCAAAAAAAAAACAAAGGGTGATATTGAGACCACAGATAGTTAATAAATCACTGTGATACAGAAGCAGTCAAGTCTAGAAGATGATCCTGGTATCAAATGTGTGTAAAAGTGATCCTTTCATTGTCTGTAACCAACCAGCATCACACGTTTTCTCTGAATGATCAGAAAACAGAAACACATCCAGGGTACCAATGATTGTTTCTATGACATTATAGACATTAAACTGCTGCAGTTTTACTCTTTAAACCATTATACATCCCATAATATGTCAATATTAGCAGCTCAAAGATGATAATAACATTGATCAGTTTTGTTTTTTTTTTCTTCAATTCTGTACATTTTCTGAATAATTTTAGATAATTTTCACGTTATTGTGGACACTGCTTTGGTATTTTTGGTTACCATTTATTTACACAATTATGACATGTCTAGAATACAGTTGTTGTTAATTAAGTCAAATTCTGAGTCATTTTGGGCCATTTTTTAAAAGATATTTTGAATACATTTTGGATAATTTGAGTCATTTAGGGAAACTTTCAAGGCCATGTGGATAAGTCATTTTTAAGTATTTTTAAGTGATTGTAATATTCATTCATTCATTCATTCATTCATTCATTCATTCATTCAAAAATAATTTTAGTCACTTCCTAAGTTGTTAAGGACAGGTTTGAAATATTTCTGGACTGTATTTTGTCAATTTAGGTAAGTTTTGGAGAAGTTTTCAGTCATTTTAAATTAAAGATAACATATTGAGGGCACCAATATTAAACTGCTGCAGTTTTGCTGTTGAAACTATGACACATCCCATGATATTGATGCTTAAAGTTGATGACAGGAAAACTGAACAAAAAGCAGATTTAGTGTTTAGACTGTGACACCTGGATGGATACAAAACTGATTTCGTTGCAGTTTGTTTGTTTTTTTTTTTATACCAGAAGTCAGATGTGTTTTTCATCCTAAAATGTCATGTGTCTATCTGCTGTACTGATGAAGTTCTGAGGCTCAGAAATGATGGTTCATTCATTGCTTCATTTAATATAATACAATTACGTACAAAAATAAATAAAATAAAATCAATTGATTTAAGGGGCTCAACTGGGAACTTTTTTGAGATTTGGCTGATTGTATATGGATCCTTATGTGTCTGTAGAGGAGTTTGCTTCCTGTTGGTCAACCTGACCGGTCTCCACAATCACAACCTCACCGACATCGTACCCTAAGTGTTGGTTCCCAAACATCCATGGTCTGAACTATCTTGGTGCATAATTACTTCAAGGGTTGAAACTTTCTGGCATTGCCTTGTAAAAACTCTGTAGCTGCAAATTTTGTGTTTTGCATCCAGTTTTGTTTTTGTTTTTCCACTTTTAGCTTTTGTGTCTCATCACAGCTAATACTTTCAGGGAAGTGCTTCATAATAATGTAACTAATGTAATAATGTATGATAGAGTGTTGGACAAACTAAACACACATTAACTACCAACAAACCCGACCCAGTTATCATCATACTGAAGTTTTCTTCTTCTTGTCTTTTTTTGTAGTTTGTGAAGTTTGCCAACATCGAGGAGGACACACCGTCCTACCATCGCCGCTATGACTTCTTCGTCTCCCAGTTCAGCGCCATGTGCCACTCGACCCACGAAGATCCTGAGACCAGAACCAGGTACAGTCAGAACACAGGGACACTTCACACGAACAAGTTATCAGTAAGCTACAGTCCAACCACTAAAACCCAGGATGAACTCCAACATTCAAATAATCTGAACCTCCTAATTAATGAAACTGAGGTAACGTTAGAAGCCAAATAACTTGAAAAATTTTTTTTTTTCTTGAAACTGAAAACAGACTAAGTTGGTATTTCTGCCACAGTTACCTCTGCAGTATGTTTGTCTGTTCCTCCATCAGCATGGTTTTTGTTATTTTTTTAAATCATTTTATCCTGGTAGCATTAACTGGAGTCCCTCAGGGTTCAATTCTGGGCCTCCTGCTTTTCTTTGCTTCAGCTACATTTTTTTTTTTTACTGCTGCATTCAAATATATGTCATAATGAAGTCCTAACTGCAGTTCTGGAGGACTTTAACCATATTGAGGACTTTCACGTTGCCATATGTAGAAGGTCTTTCGGAGTATGTTGGACTCCAAGACGGAATATGTGTTAAATATTTGTTGGTATTCATTATAGACTTTTATACTATATTAAATACATTTTCTGATAAGTTGACATAATTTTGGTTCCAAATGCATGACAAATGTCCCTCTTTTTATATTAAGAAAATAAAATAAAAATAAAATCTTGAAAAAAAACAACAACAACAAAAAACCAATACCTGCCACCTAAACCAAACGGCCCAGGGTCCAAAAGCCCCCAAAAGTCTTGAATAGCGTGAAATGAAAAATAACTAATGAAAATTGAGAATTTATTGTTGATACCTGTATCTCCCAAAGGCGTCACAGTTCAGTATCTGGAACCAGCTTTTAATTCTGCAGTTTTCTTTGCATTTTTTATGCTATTATCTCCTTGATTTGACTACTAAAAGTCATTATTTTTTACAGTTTCATAATGAGTCTATAATGAGTCTGAAAAGACAGACTTCTGAGCATAAAGAAACAGTGAACCTGATATTATTGTCTACTTTTTTTAATCCAACCATGCCTGCTGTCTTGACAGAACCATGATGCTCTCCTTTGTGTTCTTTGTTCATGTTTAATTTAAATAATGTGTGCTGAACTACTTTCTTCTCTGCTCATCAGCTGTAGAAAGATGTTTCACCATGCTGAATGTACCTTCAACAACTAGCTCATCTGTTCACTGTTTTTGAACCATGCTGCATTTATTTCATTAGTCCAATATGTTTGATTTTCACTTCGTCTTAGCTTTGTGTCGTGTTTGTGATCTGGGTCAAAGTTTTAAACATGACAAAGCGATTTTGATGAAGTATTTTGATTTTAACTTAACATTCCATTAATGGTTAGTTCAAGTACAGTCAAAACATTTTAAATCCAACAAATTTTTTGATCTTCCACAGTTTGTGGCTCTAATAAACGCTGCAATTTTGTCGATCTTTTTTTTATTTTGCAAACCAAGCAGTTTTGGGGTTTGCTATGTCTTCAGAAATAAGGCGTCACTCGACAAAATGATGAATTATTTAATTTTCCTCTTTGTAGGAACAGTTAATGCTGCTCACGTTTATGCAAAAGCTGATTCTCTGATTAGTTCCCTTAATGTATTGAAACATGCTGCTCCAGTCAAAACTCTGTCTTTGGATAAAATGAAAACCTGCAGCTACAGTACATGTGTTGACTTTCACCTCCATAGAAACAGAGCTGCCCGCTGCTGCTTTGTTTTTCGTTATGGTGAAGACATTTTACATTTCATAGGCCTCCTCTTTATGATGCTCTGATGGAATTCCACCAACAATGGCAACACGATCGCCACCAGGGCAGCTCTCAGCCCACTTGAATCCAGCGAATACAGAATTGAATATATCTCTTACTGATCCATATTTGATGGCCTTTCGCTCGGTAGCAGCTCAGCAGGAGCAGCCGGATTGAAATGTGAGCACTTGAAAGGATGCAGATGATGAAATGAGGCATTAAAATCACTGGGAATAAGTGATGTGAGAGAAATGAATTCACCTGCCTGCAGCGTCTCCACTAATAGAGGCTCATTGTCTTTTTCCTGGTAACTGCTTCAGTCACAGTCATGACAAAACACGAGGCTTTAATCTGTCTTCCACCTGGACCTGGTTTCTCCTTTTTCTTTCAGAATATTCAAAACTGCTGGTTTATAACTTGAGTTGCATTCTCATACTTATTAGTATTAATAGCAACAACGATATAATCCACAGCGTGTGCAGTAGCTGTTGAAAATCAGTGATTGTAGCTGCGTCATTGACAGAACTGCAGAAAAAAATCATATTCTTCCTCACTGAGGGT